TTTTTTGGTTGCAGCCATCATTGTTGTTTGGCGGGCCTGGGCTGGGGATTCGAACCCGCCGCCTTAGGTGTATGTGGCTGGTGCCTTAGCCGCTTGAGCCACAGGCGCCGAGCCAACGCTAGGCTATTTTTTGTTGCAGTTTGGCCAGGGCTGGGTTTGAACCCACCACTCTCGGTATATGGGGCTGGCACCCTACTCACTGAGCCACAGGCACCACCCCCTAGGGGCAGTTTTTATTACATTCTGCATGATCCAGCCCTCATTGCTTTTGTTTTATGCTTGGGGCACACAGATTGTTTGCCCTGAGATAAACTCTCTTCTGGTGTCAGTACTCATCATAAACAACCTAAGGGCAGAACTAGGGCTTAAGCATCCTGTACTTTACTGACAAAGTTTGAGGGAGGCACATCTCACACAGGTACACAAAGACCCAATCACTGTGCTCATGAATTACAAAAGGATCAACCTAAACTTTGAAGCCCAACTCTGTGACAGACATTGTCATGTCTGCTGTCATATTTGCCAGTAATTTGGAACTTACAGAGTGTCAGAACTGAAAGGGACCTCAGAGAACAGAAGTCCACATCCTATTTGTCAGGTAAGTAGACCAGACCAAGATCCTGAGTGGAAATGAATTATGCAACAGCATAGTAGGATGGAGTTGTCCCTATTCCCAGCACCCAGGTTTTCTCACCTCCCAGTTCTATCCCGTTTTCTAATTCTTCTTCATCTAAAAAAATTTTTTTTAGAGATGGGTTCTTGCTATGTTGCCCAGGCTTGAATGGCTATTCACAGGTGTAATCATAGTGCATGTACTACAACCTTGAACTCCTGAGCACAAGTGATCCTCCTACCTCAGGCTTTCTTCTTCTTCCTTTTTTTTTTTGGACAAGAGTCTCAAGCTGTTGCCCTAGGTAGAGTGCCATGGCATCATAGCCCACAGCAACCTCAAATTCTTAGGCTTAAGTGATTTTCTTATCTCAGCTTCCTAAGTAGCTGGGACTACAGGCGCCTGCCACAATGCCTGGCTATTTGTTGCTGTAGTTGTCATTGTTGTTCAGCAGGCCCAGGTCGGGTTCAAACCCGCCAGCCCCTTGTATGTGACCAGCACCCTACTCACTGAGCTAAGGGTTCCACCTTCCTTTTTTTTGCAGTTCCCACAATACCTAGCATTGTGCTAGCCTCATAAATTTTCAATATGCTCAATAAATTCTTGCTAAATGGAATACATATAAGATGCCTTTGTGTACAAGACACTTTTGGTAATTGATGAAAGCTATAAAGAATGGATATTGTTTTTGATAAATATCTAATAAATACTTGTTGCTTGCTTTTATAAGCTCAGCTTTTTTTTTTTTTTTTTTGAGACAGAGTCTCACTCATCCTGGATAGCGTGCTGTGGTATCATTGTATCTCATAGCAACGTCCCAAGTGGCTTGGACTATAGGCACTCACCAAAATGCCTAGCTACTTTTTCTATTTTTAGTGGCTATAAGGTCTCGCTCTTGCTTAGTCTGGTCTTGAACTCCTGAGCTCAGGCAATCCACCTGCCTCAGCCCCCTAGAGTGCTAGGATTATAGGTGTGAACCCTTGTTCTATATTATTTTCTGCCTGAGGCTATATTGAGGCAGAACTCTTTGAGGGAAAGTAGAGGCTTTTAAGTATGACCCCTCCAGGGGCCAGAACCTATAGGTTAGACCACTCTGGCTAGAGCCTGCCTAGAGCCTCTGGAACCCTGCCCATGGAGCTGAAGGTTTCCACCCAGAAGAAATTCTGGGATTAGAGTTTGGAGGTGAGGGTACATTTTTTTTTTTTTTTGAGACAGAGCCTCAAGCTGTCCCCCTGGGTAGAGTGCTGTGGCATCACAACTCACAGCAACCTCCAACTCCTGGTCTTAAGCGAGTCTCTTGCCTCTGCCTCCCAAGTAGCTGGGACCACAGGCGCCCGCCACAACGCCCGGCTATTTTTTGGTTGCAGCCGTCATTGTTGTTTGGCAGGTCCGGGCTGGGGATTCGAACCCGCCACCTTAGGTGTACGTGGCTGGCGCCTTAGCCGGTTGAGCTATAGGCGCCGAGCCGTGAGGGTACATTTAAACTGGGTACCCTGTCTGTTCCTCAGGCATTGCTAACCTTAGAATGAGTGAGAAGAGGTATGCAGGAGGTGGGCGGTGTGGGTGCTAGCTGTTAGTCCAGTAATGTCTACTAAGCAGGGAGGAAGGTTGCTCTATCTCCTGCTCCAAGTATTGGACAGGACATTTCTTTTTTTTTTTTTTTTTGGATAGGCCATTTCTTATGATTGTAGGAGTAGTGACTCCTGGAGTCCCTAGCAGTGTTGCTCACCACTCCTTATTCTATTTTTTTCTTTTTTGGCCGGGGCTGGGTTTGAACCCACCACCTCCGGCATATGGGGCTGGTGCCCTACTCCTTTGAGCCACAGGTGCCGCCCTCCCACTCCCTATGCTTTTCCCAACACCTTTCCAAAGTCCAGTCGTGCCACCATCTGTCAGGCTACAGAATAAATGCCTGACTCTCTTCTGAGATTTATTTCCTTCTGCCATGAATGAATCCAAATTCACCACCAGTTCTCAAGGTCAAAAGTTCTCCAGTCAGCTTCTAGTTCCCATCTGTAGGCTTATTCTACATTGGGAAACTGAAGTAGTGGTTAAGGAAACAGCCCTGACCCTTGTTTCCATGGTGAAGGGTCCTAGCAAGGGTCTGTGCCTACCCTAAGGACTCATAACAAAAGACAGTTCTATTCTCTGTAAGGAACTGAAACTTCTTAAACGCAGAATCATTTCACTATCTCCAGTGCCTATTGCAGGTACTTAAGAAACACATGTAGAATGAATGCTGAATTATTTAGCCTCCACTTACCTAAGAATGGGATATCTGAAGACTAATCTGGGCCCCATATAGTAAATTCTTGTAATTTCTGGGACATTTGGCCACTGCAAGAACCCAGACAATAATCTCAGAGACCCCTAGAGAAGAGAGCTACAGTTCTGGGCTTGGGAGCCCTCCACCAGCACTGTTCTTTGTATTTGGCGGAACAGAGAGATCTGGGTTTGAATCCCAGTCTTACTTGTACATATAGAACTCCGTAACTTTGTACAATTAACTAGCTTCTCTGAGCGTTTGTTCCCTCATCTGTGGAATGGGAAGGGCTTAATCAAGATGTTCCATGAGGCGGTTATTAACAATCATCTGTTACAGTAGATGGGGAGATTCTTTCCCCATGTTCTGAGAGGAGATTTTTGAGGAGATTCTGGAATCTCCCAGTGTTCCCAAACTTTTATTTTATTTTTATTTTTTTTATTGAGACAGAGTCTCACTTTGTTGCCCTTGATAAGCGTGCCATCACAGCTCACAGCAACCTCAAAGTCTTGGGCTCAAGTGGCTTCAGCCTCCTGAGTAGCTGGGACCACAAGTTCTTGCCACAACACCTGGCTATTTTTTCTTTTGTTTGTTTGTTTGTTTTTGTTTTTAGCAGGCCCGGCTGGGTTTGAACCCACCAGCCCTGGAACATATGGCTGGTGCCCTACTCACTAAGCATGGGCGCCACCTCCAAACCTTTATTTTATTTATTTATTTATTTTTGAGACAGAGCCTCAAGCTATCCCCCTGGGTAGAGTGCTGTGGCTTCACAGCTCATAGCAACCTCCAACTCCTGGGCTCAAGCGAGTCT